TGAGATCTCCAGCATCAGCTTTGTCACTAAGGCCATGTTTTTCAACTACTGGAAACTGGCAGTGGTGGTGATGTGCCATGAGTTGGTTCTGACTCAGTGACCCTGTATAGGATTTTCAAAGCTGTAAATCTTTACAGGAGCAGAAAGCCTCATCTTTCTCCCATAGAACAGCTGGTAGTTTTGAACTGCTGACCTTGAGGTTAGCAGCCCAACTTGTAATCACTAGGCTACACATTTATAATATATAATAGAAATATGTGTAAATGTACCACTGTATGTTTGTTTTTCCCTTAGCTCTGACTATTGAGAGAACCTAGGAGTAGCAAGCCCCCAACAACAATGAACACAGTTAGCACCTAATAATGGTGTTTTAATGGTAAATGCCACTGAAAGGACCCAGGGTGCCTGGAGAAATGGCTGGTTCCAGGACTGGTGCCGAGAACGTACAAGTGTCCAGAAAATAAGGTCAGGCTCAGATTATGGTGTGGACATGCACTCCGGAGACAGAGTCTACTCAAAGAGGCTCACACAGCCTAATCTAAAACAATGTGTGCATTAAAATCAAAGATAGTAAATGAAGTATAACTCATTGAATAAAACAAGGATCTGTGAGTCTGCAATGAGATCCATAAATTAATAAAATAGTTCATTGATTAATTAAGGGAAAGCTCTTCTTTAGAGTTGAGCGTCAGCATATGTATGAAGAAAAGATAGGATGGAAGATCACCTTTTGGCACCCACCACCATAAGAATCGATTCAGCTAAGGGTCATAAATGTAGTGGGAGTATCAGTCTGATGATAAGAAACAGGATCTTTCTATAGTCTCAGAGTATCTCCCCACAAGGTATAAATTAATTAGACAGGGAAGATACTTACTCTACAGTGGAGAAGCCTGGCAGGTAGCAACTTGACCAAGTGCCCTAAGTTATCACCTGTAATGGGACAAATAAGCATACTGAAACGATGTTCTATGAACAACACACCTCGTCCAGGTATTCCTGCCAACAATACATGTTGTTGTTAAGTGCTGTTGAGTCGGTTCCGACTCATAGCAATGCTTTCTAGGGTTTTCAAGGCGCGGCTGGTGGGTTTGAACTGCTGACCTTGTGGCCCAGTACAGTATTCTGCAGCATCAGCCTGAATCTAATTACAAGAAAACATCAGATGTCCCCAAATTGAAGGACATTCTAGGAAATAAGTGCCAGGCAGTTATTATAAAATTTATAAACGACACAGTGAGGAAATTGTCCAGATTAAAGGAGACTAACAAAACAAGACAACTAAATGCAACATATAGCTGGATTAGATCTTGGAGAAGACCAAAAAAACAAAAACAAAAAACCAATGTGTTTCTTATTATAAAGGTCATTATTGGAACAACTGGAAATTTTTGAGTAAGACCTACAGATTATATGACAGTATTATTACATCAATATTGATTTCCTAACTTTAGGAATTTTATTACAGTAATATATGAGAAATCCTTGTTTATTTTTTTTCTGGGAAATAAACACTAAAGTATTTAGAGGTAAATGTGTATAATATTTGCTACTTTCAAATGGTTCAGAAAAGCAATTTTATATATACATACACAGAGAGAGAGAAAATGACAGCGGAGAATGATAAAGTTAATTGGTAAATTGTTAATATTTGGGGACACTAGGTAAAACATTTGTGGGTTCTTTGTATGGCTCTTGCAACTTGTTTGTAAGTGTGAAATTATTTAAGTAGCTTATTAATAAAATATGTGTTTGCTAGATACAGTCGTGAGGACTCTCTGGTACAGCTGGGGCAATCAGAAGGCATCGGTACTATGTGTTGTCCCTTAACTAGAAAGACTAGAGTGTTCTAGACCGGCATTTTTCAAACTTTCATGTGCATGAGAATCAACTGGAGATCTTATTCAATACAGATTTTTATGCCACTCTGGGTAGGGATGGAGATTCTGCATGTCTAACAAGCTCCCAGGCTTTGCATATGTTGACTTTCTTTTGGTCTGGGGACCATCCCTTGAGTAGCAAGGGATTATATACCACTGAGGATTATACTGTTGTTGTTAAGTGTCCTCAAGTCGGTTCCAACACATAGCAACCCTGTATAGGGTTTCCAAGGAGCTGCTAGTGAGCTTGAACCACTGACCTTGAAGTTCAAATAGCTTTGCAGTCCAGTGCATTAACCCACGGCGCCACACCAGTCTCAAACCTTAGAATCACAGAAGAGCTGTCTTTATTGATCTTCCTGCTAATCCTCACGTGCTGCCAGAAGCATTGATGGCCTGCATCTAGCTCCTCTTCCCCATCAACTTGAATTCAGTTCAGATGCATAACTTCCAAACTGGCCTGCTTGCTGTTCCTTCCCTCTACCCTGGACTCCAGGTGGAGTGAAACCAGGTGGATCTTCCTGTTCCTCCACTGTTCAAACACCTGCTGGGTATGCCAAGTGAGAATTCCTCACCCAGGCTTCAAGCCCTCTGTGATGTAGCCTCAACCCACCTTTCCTGGCTTCTCTCCCAGCTCCCCCTGGGAGACTCTGCTCCTAGGAGCGTCGCCGCCAGCCATGATCCTGCAGTCCAGTTTCCACCCGTCACATGTTTGCTTTTGCAGTCTCTCTCACACCCACGAAGCGCCTATCTCTAGTCTCGCTCTGGGCCACCAGGTCAGAGCTGTGGGGACTTATGTTGCAAACACTGCAGACTCCCCTCTTGCTGGGGAGAGGAGGAGAGCTCACAAGGAACCCGGGGTGGACAGTTGCCTAAAATAGGGCTCAGCTCCCTGCTGTGGGGGGAATAATAGGGTGGACTGGATGGGAGGGGGAGATGAAGGCAAGAAAAGAACAGTCTGGGTGTCGCCCTAGAATTCTGACCTGGCAACCCAACCCCTTGTGCACTGGCTTCCTCTCTACTCTTCTCCCTCTCTCCTCCAGCCCAGTGAGTGGCTAGACCCTGGAGCACCCAGAGGAAAATAGGACACAGGAAGGTGCTACCTGGGTCATTCCTTCAGGAGAGGGTCTGCTGAGGAGAGAAGCAGCATGTGTTAGGCCAGCAGAGAGGGGGATTGAAAAACAAATTTGAGGAGGGGGACACAAGACCTGGAAGGCATGAGGACCCTCTCCTCCTCTAGTTATCCCTACCCCCTTCTCAAGACCTGCTTTCCTAGGAAAAGGCCTCCTTCTGGCCACCACCACCCTGTGCCCCAAGTGCCCTGGGGCCCACCAGCTAATTCCAGTTAAAATGTGTGACTTCCCAAAGTTAGTAAACTGTAGGGATTAGGGTTGAGCAGGGAAGAGGCGCCTGCATTCCCAGGGAGAATCACAGCTTGAGTCTAGGGTGGAATGGGTCAGAAGCGGTTTAAAGCACTTTTAAGAGGTCAGAAGGCAAGTTCCTTCATAGGAAGAAGGGAGCCTCAAGTTCTGGCTTCCTACTCAGGCTGCTTGTGTGTCTCTCTCTCAGGGATGACCGAGTGGTGCCCTTCCAGAAGAGGCTCATTTCACCCTCGTGAAGGGAAAATGGCCCTTCCCACCTACCAGAAAGAAACCCTCTGTGCCCTTCAGTCTCTCCCAAGATTGCTGAGTCCCAGCAGGTCTGAGTCTTTGGCCTTGGACCATCACCCAGTGCCTATTTATGGTCAGCTCAGAGGGCATGGTCACCACTCCTGAGAACTGGCTCTCCAGATAGACTTGGTGAAGAGTTTGGGGATAGAGCTCCTTTGTGGAGACTCCTACCCACTCAGCTTCTCCTTTTGGGTTGGTAAGCTTTCAGTTTCCCAGCTCTGCTCACTCTTGGATGGAAAGGCAAGAGGGACTTGGAAGAAAATATGAAGTGGAACTTCAAAAGAGATGAGCACCCAATTCCTGGATGGATTCCAGTTTGCCAGCCTCTCTAGTGACCAGGTTCTGTTTCAAGTCATTCTAGGAAGAGGGCATCCTCCCACTTCCAGAGCCCCCATTGCTGGATCCCCAATGTAGCCCCCTCCTCTGTTGTCCAGAACTCCCTTGGGCTGCCCCACACTGGTCAACTCTTGTCTCTTGTCCGAGCTTTCTGCCTCCAAGTTCTAACTCCCAGTGAGGCTGTAAGAAACTTGTTGCCAGGCAGATACTTTCCTGCTTGTTTACAGTAACCACAATTTCTCAATCCTTAATCTCGACACCTCTCAAATAACATCAGGGTCACTTTTGAGTATAGGGGGCCATTTGTAAGCCAAAAGATTGCAATTCAAATTGATTAAAGGATGATCTGATTACAGTTGAGAGTAATTATGAAGAAAATAAGTAAAAAATATTTGAAGAGACTGCCGTACAAAATTCAAGATATAGAGCATATTCATTCCTCTTATGTCTCCAGGCTAGGGCCATAAAAGGCACTACTATACTTGGCTCTTGTACCCCACTGACATTGATTCCCTGTTCTCCCCTCCCTTGCACATCTACTTCAGTCATCACCAATCAACACATGACATGGTTTTTCCATGACTCAGTCTTTATTGGGTTTTGAAGTAATTGAATTATTGGCACAAGGCTCAGTTGAGTTTCAAAGCAAATGACAGAAGGAAACATACCACTGCACAGGTGAACAGGGAAGAGTCCCAGACAAATTGTGACCCTCACCCATGAACTAGGGACTTGCTCACAGGGACCCTACCGCCATATCCAGCCCAGCTGAGACAGACATGCAGATGACTGAGCTATACCACAGGTCTCTCCATCAAAGACAACCATTTCTTCTCAAACCTCTTCCAGCCTTTATGTCTTTGCCATCAATAAACACCTTGACAATCATAGGAACCCTCTCCCCTGAAGAAAGCCTGCCTACTCTCCCTCACCTGTGCCTTTTTAAATGGGAACCTCCACAACCAGGGGCCGATTAGGGCCCTACAGGGGGAGGGTGATGGCAAGGGTTGGTTTTAGAAGGTTGGCCAAGCCCAGAGACTTTCCTGAGGATATATAACCCCCCTACTCTAGTGGGTCTTCCCACCAAGGTTCAGAGGGCAGGAAAGGGGACTTCTCAATAGGACAGCTGCTCGCCATCCTCCTGTGAGGAGGGTTCCTCCTCTATGAGCTCCAGGTCAAACTCATCTTCCAGGGATCCCCCGACTGGCAGAAGGCGGAACTTCTTTCCTTTCAGGGTACATGTGCGATGCTCGAAGTCCAGGACAGCATTGTGGTCCTGGAGCACATCAGTTCCGATGATGGCCTCTTCGGCACTTGCGTTGGCCACTAGGAACTCTGCCTTCAGCTTCAGCTTGCCCAGGGACATCACTGTATCCCAGACACCCAGGATCTTCATTTCAGCACCATTGGCCACTTTAACCACATTCTCGAAGGGCCTCAAGGTGTCCAAATCGCCATCAGTGACTTCTTCCCACAGGTTTGGGTGGACCACGGAAACCTGGGCTCCAGAGTCCACCAGGAATCTCACGGGCACTTTGCCAATTTTCCCCTTGAGGTAGTAGCCCTTACCCATGCTGTTGGCAAAGACGATCTCTCTGGGCTGGTGGCTGCAAGGGCCCCCGAAGGTCTTCAACAGGGTCTCTTTCACAACTTCATAGTTTCCCTGGTCTTCAGGATTGAGTCCTCTGTACACCTCCCTGGCATTTCCCCTCAGAGATTCTTTCAGGAACCTCAGCTTGGTGACAGAGTCCCAGTTGCTGAGGGTGTTCATGACCTCGAAGCGGTGCAGCCAGAGTTGTGGGGTGAAGTTGGTGCCATCAAAAGCCTCTGGGACGAAGGCATGTTCCCGGCGGCTTCCCTGGCTCCTTGCTCCTCTTGCTGCCATGTCTCTGCTCTCCTCTGGAACTGCAGCTACAACCCAAGCCAAATAGAGAAACCCACAGAGCAGTGTTGACGCAATCACGCTGGAAAACAAGGCCTTCTAAACAGAGTGCTGCTTACTTGCCCGGCTGTGGGCAAGTAGAAAGGCCAAGGCGACGCGGTTGTCTGATGGACTGCTGGGTTAAGAGGCAGACAGTGCTGTGGTCGGTTTGCTCTGCAGAGCCTTTTTGATGTCTGGCCTGGGCCCCTGGGGCTCCCCATTCTCCTTTGTTCTGTAGGCTCCACCCCTTCTTGGCCCGCCCTCCTGCCAGCATCCTGCCCAACTAGCAGGATCAGTGCCTCACCCTCCCTCCCATCCATCCACGGGATGGGCATAGGCCATCCCACATAGCCAGAAAGGCCTGCCACAGTCAGAAGGGGGCCTTCCCAGGTACCCTCCCCAGCCCGTGTCCCAGAATAACACCTGAGGATACTCAGGATGTTATGACATCCCAGTTTTTGTCATTAATCATTGGAGGAAGGGGGAAGCAGGGACCAGGTGTTCCATCCATTTTCAGACTGTGAAAGGAACTTATATGAACCTCCTACTTGATGTTGGGCACTCAATGGGTATTCTCAAGCATTCTAGCCCAAATATTAGATCCCATGAGATGTTCTGAAGATGGAGATGAAGGAGGGTCCCAGAATGAAGAGTATGTAGAAATCATTTTTCAATGACATAGGACACACACAGACACCCACACATTTTCTGTGAACTCAGCTGCTATAGAAATTTTCCATGATTGATGATGGCTAATTCAGAATCTGCACTTTTTGGAACTAGTCCTCAGCCTATGGGCTCTCATTAAGAGCCTGAAGTGGGCTGGCAGACCTGGAAGAGATGGAAGATCGGGCTCTGGGAAGGGCCCATCTTCGGGGCCACATGCATTATCTCGACCCTGTCTGGTCTTTCTTATCTTCCAGGAACCCAGGCCTGTGCCTCCCACCCCAAGGCCTCTATATGGAAAAAGGGATAGGGAATTTCACTACCTTTTTGCTCTGAGAGAAGGGCTCACTGGTAGACACACTGAGGATGCCTGCAAAGCATAGCGATGAATCCAGGGGGCAGAGACCTGGTGTGGGCCTGCACAGGGAGATTAGAGCTGCGGAGGCAACCCCACTTAAATGTCATCTCCCATGGAACCTTCTACTCTGTCCTCAGGCCATGCAACTCACATCTGGTTGGTGGTGTGTTACAGTGCACTTTGATGGTCTGCTCACCAATCTATCTCCTGCTGTAGTCAGAGTCTGAGTGTCATACAAAATCTGGTCTTTGTGATCATCTCCAGCCTCAGAGACAATCTGGGGCAACCCAGGCATGGCCATGTGCTGTCACCAAGCAGAAGAGATTAAGGACACAAGAAGAGAATTTCTGGTACACCTGTGATTCTGGGGCTATTTTTTCCTGGCCTAAAGCCTGTGCCTCACCAGCTTTCCATGCCACATGGCATCCAGTGCCTAGCTGAATCCCAGGGTTCACACCAAAAGGCCTTCAGTCCCTGCCACTGGCTCCAGTCCCAGCAGACTCCAGACCCGACTACCTAAGACAGTGAGCCAGCCAAGAGGTAGTTGGGTTAACACCTCTCATCACAGCTCACTGGTCAAGGTGGGGCCACTGTGACATTCCAGGTGCCTAGAAGGGGGGAAATGGAGTCACTGGGGAGGTATCAAGAGCAGGTGGGTCTCCAAGAAGATTGCTCAATGAGAATCTGCATGCAGGGAAATGGCTCAGCCACCTGCAAGACCAGGAAGCCCCTTCTGCAAGTAGACTTCTGCGGAAAGACTCCCAGACCTCGGATGGGTGTTGATCCACTGCCCAGGGAGCTAGCCCAGTGGCTTCCTGGCTCCCTGTGTTCATCACCTGAAAACATCTGGTCTTCTGATGGCCAGGTGCCAAACCAGGCACCAGGGTGGACCAAAAAGGAAGTGGGAATGAGTGAGGAGGTTGGCGCACCAAGGCAGGGCAATTTGTCAGCTGTAAAACTGCTGCATACCCCAACCCTGCTGTGGACACTGAACTCAAATCTCCCCACTGCTCTGGATAGAAATGGGCGGTCCCTGGCCTTTTACTTGATTGGATCTGGTGTTCATTTGGGCAAAGTCAGTGCACATCCTTCACCTCAGTAAGCACTGTGACAAACTGAAACCCCAAAGCAGAGGGCTGTCTGCCCAGTGTGGATAAGAGCACTGTACAAATCAGGACAGGGCTGCTGCTGACCACAGGTGGGAGTTTCAATGGGCAGTAGGCAAGAGATGATAGTTAAATACTCAGAAATTTTGTAAGCCAGTTGTTAAACTGCTGGTAACTGTAAATTGGACATGGTGAGAGTATTGACACCACAGAAATTGGCAAATGCTAAAACAGGACCTTTTTTATTTCCCTGAAATGCCAGTTTATCTGCACACTCCTACGTGGGGGATTTGGTCACCATCCCTCTGGGGCGGGCAAAGTCCCGTGGCTGGTGATCAATACGTTTAGAGTAATCTCCACTCCTGCTCAGTCACATGAGGCAAATCACCTTTCTAACTAAGGAGCTCAATGCTGCCTTGCTCCACCCTTCCCCACAGTCTTTACACTTTGACTTAGGCAGTGACCCTGTTTGGGGTGGCCCTCCAGGAAGTGTCTGTCCACACAGTGTGATATGGGATCCTCATGACAGAAGCACAAAGGAGCCACTTAGTTACAATGGCAGATAGACGGGTCAGAGCCAGCCTTTGGCTGAACATAGGGGTGGGTCTCCGCTAGGATTAAGGGCATGGTGAAGGTAAATTCTCAAGTTCCCGTAATCCTTGGGAGATGACCAGATCTGAAACTCCCAAGTACCATACAGGGACCTTGGAATTGCTATGTTAATAGTGCACTGAGCTAAACTAGCTGGGGCAGCCTGGTTCCTCTGCCTCCTCCCAGAACCTAGGAAATCACAGCTAATTATTGACAACTATAGGTATTGGGGCGGAACACCCTCATTATTACCCATTAGCATCTCCTGAGTGTGATGCTTAACCAAGAGAAGGCAAATCAGGACAATAAACAGGAAGAGCTCAGGGAATCCCCGCCCTCCACACCCCCTCACAGAGATTTCTGGGCTGAGTCCTGCCAGACTGCAGGGTCCCTGTACTGCTTCTCCTCCTCTGGACAGCTGTGCAAATAAGCACAGACCCAAGCAGGGTCCATCAAGGTTCCCAAAAATTGAAGCCCTCCGTGGACGGTGAGGACCACACTGGCATCCAGAGACACCTGCTCTGCAGACTCGTCTGAGAGCACAGCAAAGGGTGTGAAGAGGGTCAGAAGCTTGGAGTAGAGGGCAGGGTGGGGACACTGAGGGCACCTGGACACTCTAAGGAGATGGCGTTTTTAGCATAGAGTTCATGGAGACCTATGGACCTCAGTGCACCCGAGGAAGCCCAAACCCAAATAGAGTAGGCTCAGGAAAGGCTGAGACCAGACGTGCACAAACCACAGCTAAGGGATCTATCCCGGCTGTATGGCCGGCTCCTCTCCAGGCCAACTGCATCAGTCATGCCAGGAAACTGGATGGCAAGAGCAGATCAGGAAATCAAGGCCTCTTAAAAGTAGCACAGGACGGCTGAGGGGAGACAAAGTTACAGGGCCTCATGCTGAGAACGGCCTTGAGCTTGGTTTGATATGCTGCTATTGCTGTCTGGAGTTTGTTGAGTTTGGAACAAATTGCTCTATGTTTCCAATTTGCGCTGGGTGCCACAATTTACACAGCTGGTATTGTCTCTAACCAGTCTGATGGTGTTTTCTCTCGAGACACATACACTCTCACACACACACAGACTCACACACATCACACACATCCACACTAGTTCCTGACCTCACACCACACAGACACTGCACACAAAAACACGTTCTATGCACACACAATTCCCAGTTCAAAACGGCTCAGGGCTCATGTAACTTCCATGTAGAATTCAGCCCCCGCCTTCTTTTTGTCTCACATAGTGACCTGTGTGCACAATTACGTTGAGTATTAAAATCACATTTATTGGAGACACCTGCTGTTTATTAGCCTCTGGACACACTTGCTGTTTCAGAAAACTAGGCAGGTCCCCATTGTCGTGGCTTACAAGCTAATGAAAACAAGATAGAGATGTTTAACAGCCAAGTTTTGACAAGCTTAAGACCCATGCACATATGAAGGCTGACCCATTTAAAGCAGCCCCCAGTCACAGCTACAGCTGCTTTGAAAGGAGCTGGTTTTGAAGTGGGTCATCCTGCCTTCTGTTCCCTCCCCTCTTGTGGGGCCGAGGGCATAGATGTCCTCCGTTTATCCCATCTCTGGGTTTACCTGCACTGGTTCTGCCTACCCCCTCCTGCAGCCCCTGTCCCAGAACCTAGCTCAGTCCATATTCTGCATCCAACATTCCGCTTCAGTAAGTTTATGTCACCAGGACATGAAATTGGACAGAGGGGCAAAGAGGTAAACTCTGCATTAAAAAAAAAATCTAGTTAGAAATTTAGATCCAAGCTCAAGGGAGCTTGGGTGAGCACTTTGAAGCAAGGTGTGTTGATAAGACTGAGGCACTGTTGCTTTGGTTGTTAGGTGCTGCTGAGTTGGTTCTGACTCAGCGACCCGGTGCACAATAGAACAAAACACTGCTCGTCCTGCACCATGCTCACAATTGTTGTTATGTTAGAGCCTATTGTTGTGGCCACTGTGTCAATCCATCTCACTGAGGATCTTCCTCTTTTTCACTGATCCTCTACTTTACCAAACATGATGTCATTCTTCAGGGACTGGTCCCTCCTGATAGCATATCCTAAGTATGTGAGATGAAGCCTTGCCATCCTAAGCACTAACAGTTCCTTATTCCCAAGCCATAAGCCTTCATAATGCCGCTGTTACCAAGTCAGACTCGCCTAGGACTTACAGTGTGTCCTGGCAAAGGATTCTTTTGGGCAGGACAGCTTGTCCCTGTCTGAGGGCGTAGGAAGCATTAATCCCCTTCTTGGTCCCTGTTAGACTTTCTCAAGATGAGCCTCCCTAAACCAGGCCTCAATGGACAGGCAAATGTTGCTTCTGAGACATAGAACATTCCTGCCTACAGGGACCTTTACCAGTTCACCACCACTGCCATTTGGTGCCCTCCCAGCTCCTTGCCCATGCAGCTTAAGAACTGGGAATCCCGCCCAGCTCAGTCCTCCAGAAGCCACCCTGCCAGCAGCCAGCGATAGTTTATGCATGTCGTGGCCCTGGAGGGTCCTAGAGGTGCCTGGGGAACAGTGTGGTCTCTGTGTCCCATTGCCCCTACGAGCCCTCAGACCCAGGTCCTGAACCAACCAAGACTTACAACAACTTCCTGACTAACTCCCTAGAAGTCCAATTTACCAGAACAGGTTCTTTCTGTATTCTCATCTTTCAATCAAATATGAAGATTACTTAAGGTGTCCAGAAGGTCTTCACAGTCCCCTCTTCACAGCCCAACCCTCCAAACTGGTTTCCCGCCTTCTACCACATTCTTGGTGCCCTCAACCTAGACCAAGCTTCACCCCTTCCTGTTCCAATTATTGTGAGCCTTCCTGGGGGTCACAGAAGCTCCAGGGGTTCTTCCTGGCAAGAGGGAACAGTGATACCTGTTCGAATCCCACGCCACCCCTCCTGTCTTCACTGCCCCCTCCACTTAATTGAGGCTGGGAATGGTACTTGTAAGACAGGTCCAAACTCCTTTGGGGACATTAAACCACTTTTGATAAACACCTGAGCAATTTATGAAATGTTAGACAATCAAAATATACAGATTGGGTAACCTCTAAATGCAAGTGGGCTTGCTGACGCTGGGAAATTTGATTTTGCGTTAGACATATGGAGGACTTTTGTCCAACTTAAATACCTCAAAGGCAGCTTTGAACTGATCCTGAAATAGTTTTAATTGCTGCTAATGATAACTGGTATGGTGAGCAATAAAACACAAAATCTCCTCAACCCAGAGAACTGCTTCTTTTGAATCAATTGCCGACTTAGTTTTGCTCCTAGCATAGAGAAGATGGAGTGGGGAGGCGGGAGACCATCCCCCTGGCAGGTCCCTGTGGTCTCTCTCTTGTATCATTGGAAAGAAGTGGGGGAAAGGGAAAAACAGTGGAGCCTTAACATGTATGCAAAGTTCTAGATTACTAGTAGCTGCACTATTGTTGTTGAATGCCGTCAAGTCGTTTCCGACTCATAGCAACTCTGTATAGAGTTTCCAGGGAGCATCCTTGAGGTTCAAACCGACCATTTTGTCTGTTGCTTATCCTACAGTGCCACACCAGGACTCCAAGTAGAAGCATTCACAAACATTTATTGAGCACCTACTGTGTACCAGACACCATGTTGGTTGCTGTCATTAGTGCAGGGCACTCCAAGAGTCAGCAGTGCTGATGGGACACAGGGTAGGTTTGTGCAATTCCACACATACTTGTTGAGGCCAGCTCGGCCTCACATGGAAAGATGAATCAGACACAAGCCCTCCCTCACAGAGTCCACAGAGGAGTGGGGGAGACGGAGCCAAACACAGATACTCAGAATCCAGAGAGATGAGTGTGCAGTTGGAAGGTTCCCAACAAGATGGTGGCTCAGGGCACTGGCAACTCCTCCTACAAGAGGTCACCCAATATTGCCCAGGAAAACCAAAAATAAATGTCAAAGGGAAATCTGCACCAAGAGTTAAACCAAGGAACGAGGACTTCCACAAGCAGACAATGTGTGGAAGGAATTGGGAAGTTAGGACTTGGGAAGTGAGCCAGCACACGTAGACACACAAGGCAGGAAAGCTTTTGGGGATGGGGTTAGTCTCTGGATTGGACAGTCCAGTTTAAAATATATATATATGTGTGTGTGTATAAATTGTATGTGTGTGCATGAGTAGTGTATATGAGCCCAGAAAAAAGACTGGAAATAAATACACTCGCATGGTGGTAGTAGTTATTTCTGGATAGTAGAATCATGAATGATGTTTTCTTCTATAAACATTCTGAAACTATATTTATAATAAGCAACAAGTTATTTAAAAATAAAGAGACTTGTTTTTGGAGTTTTCTGTAGGCTTGGAATGATTTCCAAATAGAAAATTAATCATTGTCAACACTAAATGATAGGTATAAAGGGGTTCATTTTCATTTCTCGCTAGTTTGGGGCGTGTTTGAAATGTTTCCATAGTGAAAAGTAAAATAACAAGAAGACCAAGGCTCTTTGTCGAGATCTTCCGAGGCTGGCCTGCCCAGTCTTGGCCCTCTCCTTGGACTATCTGTGTGTCACTCACAGTCCACCCACTGGGCACTGGAGCTGCTGGTCACCAGTGGCCTCTGGTATGCCTCGGTGTCCTTGCTCAGCATCCTCTGCCATGCCCATGGCAGATTCTGTGCCAGCTCTTCCTGCAACATCAGTCCTGCACCCCACACTGGCTCAGACAGTCCTGCACCCCTCAGTCTTACCTGCCCCTGCCCCCTATACAAAGTGTGTGCCTCCTTCCCGGGTTTCCATCAGCTTCTTATGGTAGGTTTTCTGAATCTGCAAACTTTCATTTCCCTCCCCTCATCAGAATCAGCAGGCACCAGTCTTTCCCATCTTAACACAGAAACTCCTCACATGACTCTGAATTCACTTTTATTAAATGACTACCTCTCTCCTTCCCTCCCAGTTTCTAGAAGGGCTGATCTGCAAATTCAAGGCACGGTGTGCAGCTGTTCAGGTTGTTCACTGCACAAATATGTTCCACTGTGGGACATGTTGAGGTTAAAGTCCAACTTGCCTTCCTCTTACCAAGCCAGTGAGCTGGGATGAGAGCTGCATCTGCCTGGAGAAAGGAGAGCCTCTTCTAATGTGTACAAGCTTGTTATATGGTCTGGATACAGCCTTGCTTACTCTGTGTCACTGTGTCACCTCCGAACTGTACCAATCACTGTCATTTAGATTCCAATTCATGGCAACCTGTTGTGTATCAGAGGAGAACTGTGCTTCTCCATAGGGTTTTCACAAGCTGATTCTTTGCAAGAAGATTTTCCAGATCTTCCAAGGTGCCTCTGTGTAAACTTGAACTGCCAACCTTTTGGTTAGCAGCCAGACACTTAACCATCTGCACTATCTAGGTAATCCTGTGTCACCTCCACTCAGTCCCAAAGCCCCTGGTTTCTGTGCCTACAATCCACTACTGCAACCTTTGTCCAGGGCATCTGTGTCCGTCCATTGACCATCTCCTGTGGCCCCATGTCAACCTTCAGGGAATGTGATTTTCTGTAGCATTTTCCCTGTTGCCTTTCCTCTTAGGTCTTCCCCACCCCCACTGACTTCTGTTCCTGGATCTTCTGCCTCTAAGACCACTCCCTTCTTTAGTGGGCCCCTCTCATTCTGGACACACTTAGTAGTTGCTTCTCCAACTCCATCTACAGCCTCTCACTTCCTTTCTACACACTGTTCCCCAGGCCAATGACACCCACATCTGTACCCCTGATCTAGCCTCTCTCCTCTGCTCCAGTTGACACGTCCACCTGGAAGTATTACTTTCAACATTGAGCACATTTTCTTCCTGACCTGCTCTGCTTCCTGTATTCTTTATCTGCACAAAGGCACTCTCAGCCAAACGTTTCCAGAGTCAGGAACACTGGGGTCATCCTCACTGCCTCCCTTCTCCCACTGCCCATCCTACCCACCCTGCTATTCCTCCTGGGCCTCTCCCACCCACCTCCATTCTCACCCACACTGTCCTAGTTCAAGCCGGACTCTTGCAACAGTCCCAGCCTCCTGTCTCTTCCCTATTAATCTACTTCCTTGGGGCTCCTGAGTCATCTTTCCAAGATATAAATCTGATCATGTCATTCTGCCCAAAATTCTTCTATAACTCCTCATCCCAAAATAAACCCATGGCATGTGAAGTCCACTTCCTTGGTTCAGACTTCATACTCCACCTATACTAAATGGTTTGTGGGTCCCCAAACATGATGGGCTTTGTTGTATCTTTTCTCATGCGACTCACTCGGCCAACTATGACCCTGTTCCCCTTGCAGACCTCAATTCTTCCCATAGAAGTCAGCCAAAGCATTGCAACCTCCAGGAAGCCTCTCTTGATTTCCCCCACAAACCTGGCACTGCCTCCTCTGAGCCCCCAACTCCTGTGTCATTGTTAGCTCTCTGAGTGGGAACACCAGCATGACCGAGGTATGGGAAGCCTTGGTATTTCTGGGCCTTTGCTCATGCTGTTCCTTCTGCTCCTGGATAACCTAGCGATCCTGCAAATCCAGCTCACATTCATCCTTTCCCATAGTAACCCAATGTAGGGTTTCCTAAGTCATAAATCTTTACCGGAGTAGACCATCTGATCTCTCGCTACAATGGCTCCTGCTTCTACTACTCTGAGCATGAGGCCTACAGGCTGGTCTTGATTCCATAGACAAGTGACATTTTCCATCATGATCCATTATACATGTGCATCAAAATACACAAAGATACATTATATAGATACATATACATACAGCTGAGACAAAATGTATTCTTATGTGCAATATGCTCTGATACTGTCTATTTGATTTCACTTCTGTTTGTAAGACTGATGATGACCCACTAGAGCAACCTCCCAAACCACTTATGGGTCCCAATCCACCATTTGAAAACCTCCAAATGGTCAGTGTGAATCACCAGGGACTGCAAGCAGAGGAGGCACACGGTTAGAACAGTGGGTTAGGTTAGCAAATTAAGTAAATTCTCAAATTAATTAAAAGGGTTTTTTTTGTTTTTGTTTTCAATTTTCCAAACTGTAATATATGTTACTTTAGGAAAATATAGTAAGAGTGAATTACTAGATTAACAACAAAAAGAAAAACAACCCAATCAAAAAATGGGCAAAGGACTTGAACTGCTAGTTCACTACAAAGGATATATAAATGACCAATAAGCACATTTAAAGATGCTCAGCAAAATTAACCATTGTTGTGTGTCATCAAGTCAATTCCAAACCACAGCAACCCAATATAACAAAGTAGAACTGCCCCAGAGGGTGGGTTTCATAGGCTGTGATGTTCTATCAGGGAACCACTAGTAGATTCAGACGGCTGATCTTTAGGTAGCAGCCCAGTGTTTAACCACCGCACCACCAGGGTTAAACTGCTCTTCATTGCTGTTGTTGTTAAGTGCTGTTGAGGCAGTTCCAA